GCTGATGCCAGATGGATCTTGGCTGAAAGTAGAGAATACCAGAAAGATGTTTACTAGTGCTTTATTGAGTACGCAAAGGCTTTCATTTGTGTGGATCATAAAAAGCTATGGACAACGTTGCTGAGAATGAGTATTCTGGAATACTTAATTGTGCTCAGTGGGAACCTGTACATAGATCCAGGTAGTTGTTTGAACAGAGCAAAGGAACAATGAATAGTTTAATATTAGAAAAGGTGTGTGCTAGGGCTGTATTCTTTCACTATACTTATGCATTCTTTATGTTGAGCAAACAAGATAGATTAGCACAGTAGTGGCAGCAATGAACTCAGGCATAGCAATGATTGTAAGGTATGCGTGGGTCCAGGAAGTGTTTCATTCTGTTGTGCATAGGGTCATTATGAGTTGGTGCCAACCTGATGACACCTATCATCAACAGCAATAGCAATGAAACTAAGACCAATGTATTGCCGAGATAACTTGTCTGATTATAAAGACATGTTTAAACAGGTTTGGAATAAACCCGTGCATGTAACAATACTTTTGACTTACTCTCGTAAATGCCCACCAGCTGCTACTCTAAAACCTTATACAGGATTGCCATAAATCGGAATTGGCTTTATGGCACTCAGCAACAACTAACAACAACAATGTCCTTGTAAGAAATGATACTTGTTGGCCAAGTTTGAATAGAATGAATAATCAGGGCATTTATACTGTCTCTACTAGTTCTTCTTAACTAGCCTTGGTGGCACAACCATTAATACTCGGATGCCAACTGACAGTTTGGTGGTTCAGACTTACCCAGCAGCTTTGAGGGATAAAGACCCTGGCGAGCTGCTCTTGAAAAAGTAACAGGCTATGAAACCCTATGGGGCTGTTGTACTCGTCAGATGGGTCACTATGAGTTGAAAATCAACTTGATGGTTCCTAGCAACAACAATAGTGCTTATTACCCATGACTTTCCGATAGCACATTTGAGAAAAAATTATATTTAGTAATAGATACAGTTGACAACCTGAGATCATGGGGTGAAGGATAGGGCATGGATGTGCTAATTCTGGTAATTTAATTCAACATCCAGCTTCTAAAGGAGGATATTTTCTTACTTAAATTTATTCTCCACAGGAAACTCCAGAAATAACTGCCATACTTTATTCTTTATTGTAAATTTTGTCAATACTTAGATATCCAATTCAAAGTATAGAATTTATTTTTTACATTGAGCATTTCTCTATGTATGCTGAACTTTTACCTGTCACAGACATGAAACACCTGTAAAATCATTCATTTTCTCTGAATGCTTACAGTGGATTGGAAAATCAGATCTATGCACTTCCATTATACTGTTGTGGACTTGTGACTGTGTGTATGTGTCTTATCTCTTTCACGGAATGCAAACTCCTTCAGGGTGAACATCTTTTTATTGGCACAAGGTATATCATGATAGCTCACTTATAGTATGTGTTTATGATGCATGTTTTAAAAATGAATGAAACAATAAAACAATATGAAACTTCAATGAAATACCCAAATGAATGATCTAATCAATAACTACCATTAAGATTTAGAAGTATTGATGATCAATATTTACAGAAATTATTAGGGAAGCGTCATAGGAAAGGTAATTAAGTAGAGTCTTAAAGGATGGGTAAGAGTTGAGCCTTTTAACTAGGTTGCATAGTATTTAAAGGGCAGCAAGAAGATCATATTGACTGAAATAAAGGACTGGTATTGGCTTTTGGCAGAGAGAAAGGTGGATAAATAGGTACTGTGTTTGGGTGCCATGTAGTCATTTTTGACTAATAGTGACCCCATGTGCCAGAGGGGAACTCCCCCACAGGGCTTTCTAAGCTGTAATCTTTATGGAGGCAGATCTCCAGGCCTTTTTCCTGTAGAGCTGCTGGGTGGGTTCGAACTGCCAACTCTTCTGTTAGCAGACAAGTGCTTAAGTACATGTTTCACCAGGGCTTTTTGAATAAATAGGTAGGAATGTAATATTTTGGAGGTCTTAAATGCCTGTTTGAAAAGTTTGCCCTTATTTCTGTTGACACTAGAGAATTATTGAAGTTTTTTACTTAGAAAATTTTAGGACAAAGGCTTGTTCTTTTTTTCTCTTTTTAAAATTTATCCTCAGTGCTATATACATTGTCTAGAGCAAAGTTTAAATATTCATGATTAGATGCATGAATGTATGGACTAGATGATATGAGTCCCTGAGCTCTGGTAGCGTAGTGGTTACGAATCGGGCTGCGAACCTTAAGGTCAGCGGTTCGAAACTACCAGCCGCTCTGCGGGAGAAAGATGAGGCTTTCTACTCCTGTAAGGATTTACACCCTCGGAAACCCTGTACAGGGTCGCTATGGGTCGGAACCGACTCGACGGCACTTAACAACAACAACAACAACAACAACAGTCTCATTGTTAGTTGTTGTTAGGTGCCCGTGGAGTCAGTTCTGATCCATAATGATCCATAATGATAACATAACCAAGCACTGCCTGGTCCTGCACCACCCTCACAATTGCTGCTATCCCTGAGCCCATTGTTGTTGCTACTGTGCTAATCCTGTTAGCAGTAGGGAATATCCATGTAATAAACAGTTTGTATGACAAATTGAGATGACTTGCTTTCTAAGAGTATATAGGTAGTGTGATGACACCAGAGTTTCAGCATGGGTGATTAAGAAATAACAATGCCATCCCTAGAAACAGGGAAGTCATCTAAGGGAATTGGGAAGTGAGAAAAGGGACAGTGATAAGCATGTTCTTCCTGAGTTTCACATTGAAATACCTGCTACCTGAATATTTAAATTTGAATACTATCTGTGTAGATGCTGTTGAGCAGTAAAAATTAACCAATATGACTATATTTAGTATGTATATTGTACACATGTTGTTTGCATATACGTAATTGTACACATTCTTAGACACACACAGGATACTTAGAGATCATATGTATGTTAAGATTGTCGATACACTAATCTACTCATTTATATTAGCAGAGTGGTGAGGATTGATTTTTGGGTGAGCAGAGGGAAAAATCATGTAGACTAAGGAGGGGAGACTAAGGCGGAGGTTATAAAAGACTGACAAGGAACAAAGGTAAAAGAACTTATAAATATAAATTCGCTAACAGGACTTTTAAATTTTTCATATATTTCAGAATAATAGTAGTAATAGCAACTGAACTACTGTTATATTGCATGAGAAAGATGAAACTTTCTGCTCCTGTAAAGAGTCACGGCCTCAGAAACCCTATGATGTTGTTGTTGTTAAGTGCTGTTGAGTCAGTTCTGACTCATAGCAACAGAAACCCTATACAGGGTCACAATGAGTCAGAGCCGACTCGATGACACTTAAGAACAACAACACTCTTGTATCACTTATTGAGTGCTTACTATATGCCAGACACCTTGTGAGGCATGCTGTCTCTTTTTATCCTCACAACAAATATGTTATGTCAATACTACTATATCTCTCTTAGGAGAACTTATGAGTATAAATCTAATTCTTTTGACTCCAAGACAAATGTTCTTCCTATTATTCTAAAGGTAGGTGTGTTTCATTTATGCAAGGCTAGGACTGGGTCTTTACACAGTTAATCCTTAGTTCTGCTTGTAATTAGCAGGTAGCAATCGGATAGCATGTAAAGGAAAAATCAGCATTTACTTTGGATTCACTTCTCCTTGTGTTTTTCTGTTTGGTTATTTATTTATAGCATATGAAAGCATAAATCTTTTTGGACTGCATATTGTAATTAGTAATTTAAATGAGAATATCAGTTCTTTTACTTAAAAGAACTAATCATTCAGAAAGTGCTTTTCCCCAATTTTTTTTTTTGAAATTAATATAAGCTTGTTTTATTGTCTTTATTGATGCGTTACTTAGAACATTTATACTTTAGCAAGGAAATTAGATGAGCCTGTCACTTTCTTTTTTATTTCAGGGGATATAATTTTCAACGCCCAATACCCAGAGCTTCCCCCCGATTTTATCTTCGGAGAGGATGCCGAATTCCTGCCAGACCCTTCATCTCTGCACGTGAGTACCACAGACTTTCTGGTAATCTTTATTTGGTAAAAAGAAAACTAACTTATCTTTTGTCAGTTACTAAACAGATAATGTGCCAAACATGTGACTATTTTTCAATCTATGTTTTCTCTGTCCTGTGAAATAAGTGTGACCAAGTGCGAACTCTACCTGTCAAAATGGTTAAAAACTCATAGGAGAGTTTTCCATTGCAGTTTTATTTTCAGACTACTCATATATTTTAAAAATGAAGGTCTCTAACATGAGCATGTTACTTTAAATGTTTTGTTTCTTTTCCTTCAACCACTTTTAAGACAGTTTTTTGTTTTTCCTTCTTCAATTTAGTATTTCATGCCTGCAATCAATTTTCTAATGTTTACAAACACCTCATCATGGGACTTGCTAGCAGAATGTTTTTTGGCTCTTTAAAAGAGGTCTTTTTTATACAGAAGTGAAAGTGGCAAATTTGGACTTGTGTCAGTCAGCATTATCTCTGTATTGTATGTTTTCAGAAGAGTAAAGGCCAAGATTAAATGTTCCTTATTAAGAAAAAAAACAACAACTTTGTAGTTGAAATAAATTGTTTCTGGAATTAAAGCAGGACTATCCAGCACTGAGGAGAGGAGTGGTGGAACTTGTCAGAGCACATGCGGTTTAGAGAAAACGCTGTGTGTCTCGCATGGTTGATGGAGAAAAAAAATATAGCATTTGTTTAAATGGTTCTGACTAGACAAAATGTCTCTTTCTTGCCCTTCTAAAAATCAAGTTTACATATACTCTTAAGAGGCGTTATGGTTGTCCAAAGCTATGTTTCTAAAGTTTGGTTTTTTGGAATTTTTCTGTCTCCTTAAAGTTTTATAATTAAAAATTTGGGTGACCTATTTTTAAGTCTTGCATTTTTTTTCCTTTTTTTTTTTTTTTTAAAAGGGAAGTGTTAAACAGGAAGTATTAACCCAAACCTAAAAGAATTATCTTAACTTTTAGAATACAGCTGTAAAAATATTGTTGACAAGAGTAGGATGGATTTGTTGATAAGGTACGAGTAGTTAGACATAAGCTCTGACTTTGGTGGTAGTGGTAATGTGCTGTGAAGTCAGTACTGACTCAGAGCGACTCTTTAGTGGTTTTCCAAGATGGTAAATCCTTACAGGAGCAGAAAGACTCATCTTTTTCCTAGGGGTTGCAAACAACTGACCATGTGACTAGCAGTCTGACTTGTAACCCACATGCTACCAGAGCTCCAAGCTGTTACTTCAGTTGATTTTCTTTTTCTTTAACTTGTAAATTAGATATGACCTCTTCAGATGCTGTGTTTTATTGTTACTGTTGCTTTTAAGTGCCGTTGAGTCAATTCTGACTTGCAGTGGCCCTGTATAGCAAGAGTGTGGAACCTATTTCTGCCAAACTTCATAGCATCGTTCATGGACCATACAAAATTATCAACCTAAAAATTAGCCTGTTACATTTACATTTGGTCAAACATTTAATTGACTAACCCCAACTTGACTTAGAACTACAAGGCTGGCAGTCCATACGTACTAGCTGATCCTCAAACCCTGTACAGGGTCACTATTAGTCAGAGTTGACTTAATGGCACTTAACAGCAACAACAACAACAACAACAACAACAACAACAATGTGGTGGCTAAAGCTGCGGTTTCATTGACAGGGCCAAACCTAATTATTTTGCTGGTCTTATACGGCCTGTATAGGAACTCTGGTAGTGTAGTGGTTACGAATCGGGCTGCAAACCTCAGGGACAGCAGTTCGAAACCACCAGCTGTTCCATAGGAGAAAGATGAGGCTTTCTGCTCCCGTAAAGATTTGTAGCCTTGGAAACCCTGTACAGGGTCGCTATGAGTCGGAACCGACTCCCCAGCACAGAACAACAACAACAAACAACATACGGCCTGTGGGCTAGACATTCCCATCCTTGCTGCATAGTGTTTCTGAGGAGTAGCTGTTGGGATTGAACCTCGAACCTTGGGGTTCAAGCTGACCTTGCGGTCCAGTGTATATCCTACAGTGCTGCACCAGTATGCTAAATGCTAAAGTTATATTGCAGGCGAACGAGCCCTGAAATTTAAAGAAGGTAGTCAGAAAAGACTTTGCATTAGAGGTGAAACTTAAGCTCCTTCTTGAAAAATGGTAAATTGGGTGTATAGCAGAGTATTTCAAGTAGGGTAAATGACATAAGCAAATTTTCAAAAAGTGTGATTTGTTTGGAATCCTGATGTAATGCTGTTGGATAAACACTGGACTGCTAACTGCAAGGTTAGTGGTTCAAACCCACCAGCTGCTCCTTAGAAGCCCTATACAGAGTCGCAATGAGTCAGAATCGACTTAACAGCACACAACAGCAACACAACATGATTTGTTGAACAGTATTTTGTAGATGAAGGTACTGACAGGTTTGCTAAAATAAGGAAGGATGAGAAAAGGTTAGGAAGATAAACTGGGACAAGATTGTGGCATTCATTTAAGGCTAGGCTTAGAACAATTAAAAGAAACGATACTAATGTAGCAGCAACGTTATCAATATACACATTATAAATTAAGGAACAATTGAGGACCAGAATATAATTTAGGCACTGTTAAACAAGAAGTGTATTTAAGCTAGGCTGGTAACACTGAGAAGAAGGTTAAGAAAGACATGTTTTAGACTTTTTAAAATTGTTATTGTTTGTTTGCTTGGAATTTCCATAAAAATTTGTAGTGTATATATTCAATATTGGCAAGTATTATGGAAATATAGAATTTGTAAGCTGGACAATAAAGCTCATTTATTCTAGTGCTGAAGAAGTTGACCTAGAGTCATATAATTGTCTATCAGAGCTAAGGAGCCCAGGTGATGCCGTGGTGAAGTGCTTGGCTGCTAACAGAAAGGTCTGAGGTTCAAACTTACCCAGTAGTTCTGTAGAAGGAAGCTGTAGCAGCCTGCTCCCATAAAGATTATAACCTTGGAAATCCTATGAGGCAGTTGTACCTTGTTATATATATATATAGGGTTGCTATGAGTTGGGATTGACTTGATGGCAATGTGTTTCTGGTATCAGAGCTAATATTATAAATCAACTCTTGATGTTTAGTCTCTTAGTGACATTATAACAGATTTTTTAAAAATTAGCTGAAAAAGAAGAGTCAAATAAAAAAATTGAAAGCACTAAATCCGCAAGAAAAATTGTGAATCTAGAAGAATACCCTCTCTTTTATGATACTTTATCTAAAGCCTCAAGCCGGCTACCTGGGTCTTCTTCATGGACCAATTGGCTGGACAAGCCTAGCTAAGCAGCCGAGTTTAACACTTCTGTAGATGGGTGATATCCCCACAGTCTTGGTGATTGTCCTTGATGTTCAATGTCATCTGATGCTCAATCTGGCTGAAAATACTAGGACAGGATAAACTATAGGTCTTGATCATTTTGTATGGTCCTTGAATGATGTTATAAATATTCAGATGGCCCTTGGCAGAAAACAGGTTCCCTACATCTGTTGTATAGGGTTTCTGAGGAGCAGCTGGTGGGTTTGATCCTCCAATCTTGCAGATCAAGCCAAGCTTGCAGTTGAGTGCTTCATCCTACAGTGCCACACCAGCCTTAGAAAGCACATACGAGGTCACTGTAAATTGGAATTGCCTAGATGGTGATAGATTTGGGCATTATCTTTTCCCCACTGAGCAGTTGGTGACTTGGAGCTGTTGATTTTTTGTGTGGCAGCCCATTGTGTAACCTACTATGCCACCAAGACTCCTAACTGTATGCTTAATGAAGTCTTTCTTCTATGACTTGGCTGGAACGTTAATGTGTCTGCACTATTTGTCTCTCACATCTCAGTTTTGCTTCCAGAAACTTAGCAGCCACTTTCCATTAAACCTCTTTTATATACTCTTTTGCTTTTGGTAGTATAGTGGATTACAAGCTGGACTGCTAATGACAAGGTCAGTAGTTTGAGTCTACCAGCCACTCTGTGAGAGAAAGATGAGGCTTTCTGCTTCCACAAAGTTTTGCAGTCTCAGAAACTCTATACAGATCTTTACAGAAGCTTTCCAAGTGTTGTTCTCTTTTCCCCCGTTACAATCTTTTTCAATTAGAAAGAAGTTTCTTTAAAGTTACTTAAGTCTAGTTTCTACGTGAAATGAAGTGTGAGGAGGGCTTAAAAAAGTTTCTAGAAAAGTGGAATGAAAAATAATGGAACTTTTCCACAAAGTATTTGAAGCCCCATGCATTATTATCTTTATAGTAGTCATTAGTCCGACAGCTGTCTCTGTTAACTGTCTCACTGTCTGCTAACCACCTAACTGTCCTAGGTCCCAAAGACTAGGGAATATCCTAGGATGCAGGACATTCATTGATTAAAACCCATATATACATCCTGGGATGGTGAATTATCCTTGTCTCTTCGCTGGAATGAAGCTTCCATGAAAGAATGGATTTAGTTTTATTCACTGCTCTATTTTAGTATCTAGAAGATTGCCTGGTGCGTAGAGGTGTTTAAGACATAATTGTTAGATGAGTAGTTTTTGCTTACGTTTCCATATTCCTTAATGGACTTGTTGATTTCTAAGACTAGAAAATATAATTTAGATGAAAATTCCAAAATAGAAGGAAAATTTACTTTTAGGGAAATTTGAGAGTCAAAAATCAGTTAGAAGAACCTCTGAAGTAGTGATTGCCAGCCTGTTTTGCAACGCTCTCTGGTGTATTCAGTCACCTCAAAAGGTATTGTGAAATTCTTTCACCAAAAGTAACAATGATCATTCACTTTAATTTAAAATAAAGTTGCATAAAAGAGGAAGGGTGGATCATAAATTTAAATGAGAAGAGAGTGTTGCAATTATAACAAGATTGGTAACCACTGGTATCTGACTTCCTCTAGTTTAAAGAAGGTGAGAATGATTTAATGTTTGGAACGACTGTCTTCAGGGTAGTGAACTGAATGTAACTGCAGATACTACCTACAAACTGTGTAATTCCTTCATTGCCTCTACTCTGCTTACATGGAAATTAAATGTA